GTGTGAAATAACTCAAAAAATGTTTTATATATTGGATGTCAGCCGGCCTTTGCTTTGATTACTGCTTTGCACACTCTCGGGTCTCTTTCGTTGAGCTTCATGAGGTCTTGAAAGAGTTCCCAGAGATGCTGAGCACTTGTTGGCCTTTTGCCTTCAATCTGCGCTCCATCTCATCCTCACACAGCCTGGAGGTGTGTTTGGGGTCATTGTCCTGTTGAAAAATAAATGATGGGATGGCATGTTGATGCAGGATGCTGTGGTAGCCATGCTGGTTCAGTGTGCCTTCAATTTTGAATGAATCTCCATCAGTCTCTCTTTACGTAGCTGATTGGTTGTTGCCATAATATGAATTCTAACAGTTGTCAAATAGGGCTGTCAGCTGTGAACCAACCTGACCTCTGCACAACACACCTGATGGTCCCGTTAAGAAAGTAAGAAATCCCACAAATGAACCCTGACGGGCTCACCTGTGAGGTGAAACCATTTCAGGTGACTACATCATGAAGCTCACTGAGAGAAGGCTGAGGGTTTGCAGAGCTGTCAGCAAAGCAAAGAGCGGCTACTTTCAGGAATCTAAAATATAAAACATATTTCGAGTTATTGATCAATTTTATCTTTGCTACATAATTCCATGTATCTTGCTTCATATATTTGATGTCTTCAGTTGGTATCTACTATGTAGAAAGAAGAAAAATAGAAATACAAAAAACATTGAATGAGGAGGTGTGTCCAAACTGTTAGTGTATATCTGGCTGCTCCAGTTAATTTTGGCAGGACTACACTTCTGCCCAGCAGTAAGTCAAGAGGAGTCAAGAAAGCCTTTATTTGTCACGTGCAGATGGGACCGCCCCCCCCCCAACCTTACATACACAACACAGACATGACATGGGGCGACAGGTCGGGGATCGGTAGTGTTTTGGATAAACACAGAAATGTACAATACAATCAGCAAGTCGAGGAAGTGAAAAAAAAGAGAGCTGTACTCATGCTGGGCTCCTATGAAAGGACAGCATGAGAACAGGAAACAACCCTCCTCTGCACAAAGAGCTCATAAATGTCCACATCACAACATCATGAAGCACGTGACAAGCAACAGCGGTGGGTAAGGGGTGAGAAGTCAGCTGATGCAGACACAGCCATCCTGCCCTGCAGCTATTCATCCAGCGCTGGGCCCTGACGCACCGTCCGACTCGGCCTCGGAGATAAGCGTACGAGAGCGTTTAGATCGAAGAGTCTAACCACAGTTTGTTATCAGGGGAGAAATTATTTGTTATGTTCAGCTGCACCCTTGAGACCGCAGCTGGCGCCGAAATGGTAGCTGCACGAAATAACGGTGGTGTTCTTTCTTTAGTGCGAACCGCTGCATGTCAATTTTACAGTCATCT